TTTCTTAATATGTTAAATTTTTGTTGTTTCATTTTTATTTTTATTTTTTTTTTGTAATTAACAGATGATCGAAATTCTGACTGTTACACTAATGGAAAGGAGTTCGTGCATTCCTTTTTTGTGCATAGAAGGGAAAGCAAAGATCTTATTTATATATGCATACAAGCACTTTGTATGCAATCTCCACACATTTCTCACAAATCAAAATGCATCTTACATTAGATAAACAAGCCCAGACAAGTACTATTATATCATTAAAGATTTCTCTCCTTGGTCTTGGATATTAGGATATTGCATTGTCCTATCCATCCATGTTGATAACACATCGAATGCCTCCCCTTTCAGCATGAGGTCAAAGGCCTTGTTGATCTCTGCTAATGGGACTTCATGGGTGATAAACTTGTCCACTTCAATCTCCTGTGGTACAAAGTCAAGTCTGATTAAGTTTCTCTGTTCTGTTGAGGCTTTCTTATAGGATATAAGAAATAGGGAATAGAGAGTTGCGGATGTACCTTTTTCATGTACATATCTACGACTTTCGGAATGTCAGTCCGGGATTTGAAGTTTCCATAGAAGGTGCCCTTCAGAGTCCTTTCAAGCAGGAAATTCAGGGGTGTGTGTCTTGAAGACAGCATCCTTTGCGGGGAACACCCACAATAACAGCAACACCCCAGCCCTGTCATCATAGGTTTTCACTTCATTATCCGTCTGGATTTGTATTCTGTATTATTTTTCTTTTGATTCTATGTGCTTTTTAAAACTATAAGAAACACTTAAAATCTTGAAAGTAGTATTGTTTTCCGGCTTTATTTTTTGAGGGAAAATAGGCTCAGAATTATGAAATCAACTCTTTGTTGTTTTCCAAATATGGGTTTGCTTTTAGTTTTTGAAGCCATTCCCTAAACAGAAAATTGTGTCTAAAAACAAATCCAAGCAGAAAATGAAAGCTTTGGTAAAACTAATTTGTATCTTTGGTTTCAGATAAGGAGGAGAAATGGAGAATAGGAATATGGCAAACATACATCATGGGTACATTCAAATGCCGAGATCATAGCACCAGTATTTCCTGAACATTCAATAGCTCTGTCCACTCCTCCATCAGTCATTGCAGCAATCACCTAAAAAAGAAATATAAAAGAAAAAAGAAATCTGTAAATTCAGTCAAGGAGTGGCAGGTGTATCTCTAGGGCACTTAGGTACCTCCTGAACTGGTTTATCATAGTCTTTGGGGTTCACAAACTCCGTCACGCCAAACTTCTTTGCTGTTAAATTACACAGAACAAGTTACAGAGAGAAAAATTGAACTCAGAAATCTCATCAACTAGAAACAGTAACTTATCTGTATGAATCGCTATGTATTTAGGCGAGAGAAGTTAGAGCAATGAGACAAACATGGACTCATTCAATATGCAGTATGACATAACTAGGAAGGGTAAAAAAATTGGTTACCTTGCTCAAATCTCTCAGGATTCAAATCCACACCAATAATCCTTGAAGCCCCAGAAACTCTGGCCCCTTCTGCAGCCTGATATCACAAAATTGCCATCAATATACAGTACTTACTGGTCTGAAAAGTTTTTGGCATTCACTGAAACTTACTGCAAGTCCTACAGCTCCCAGTCCAAACACTGCCACCGTCGAGCCCTTCTTTGGTTTGGCAACATTCACAGCAGCACCAAAGCCTATAAAAATGAAGCACCCACAGTTACAACTCTTGTTCATCAAGGCTTGAAGGGATTTTGGCGAACTAATTAGATCACAATTACTCTGTACCTGTGGAGAAACCCACAACTGATGACGCAAACTTTGTTGAGAGGAGCTTCAGGATGGATCTTGGCTACACAGCCCACATGGACCACAGTGTACTGGCTGAACGTGGATGTTCCCACGAAATGGTAAATAGGCTTGCCTTTAATGGTGAATCTGGTCTTTTGGTCGTGAATCATCACACCGCGGTCCGTGTTGATCCTGAGGAGTTCACACAGGTTGCTTTCCTCTGATTTGCAGTGAACACAATCTCCACACTCTCCTGTGAACATTGGTAGGACGTGGTCGCCCGGTGCTAGACCCTCCACTCCCTCTCCAACACTCTCCACATCCTTAACACAAAATTTTTCAGAACATAAATAATCAACTAGATCTACAGGTTAAAAACTGAGATTAAGGCGTTACCCTGCGGCCTCATGACCAAGGATTCTAGGAAAAATGAGATTCTGACGCTGCAGGTTTGAGGACATTTGAGTTAATGTAGGCACTATAAACAATGAAGGGGGAAGAAAACAGTTCTTATAACCTTGTTATTTTTTTGAGAGAAAATACTTGTAAATTTCATTAACTGAATGAGTTGCAAAATTTGCTTACGTGAGGTTCCCACCAGAAAAGATCAGTGTGGCAGAGAGCAGTATATAGTATCTTCATGCGAACTTCCATCTTCTGAGGTGGCGCCACTTCTACTTCTTCAATCACCAGTGGTTTCCCTGCTTCCCATGCCACGGCAGCTGCCATAAAAATGCAGGAAACTTTGTCAATAGACAATATCTTACGAGTAATGAAAGAAGTACACACTGAGTTTGCAAAAGTTATCCTCAAAATTAACTTCAAACTATAATTTTGCAGCTATGGTTGATAAGCAATTCAATTGAAATGAATGAAATTGAATTAAATTAAGCCACTTTTTTCGCAGCTCAAATCATGCCTCAAAAAACAACATAAGAAGTAACTGTAGGAACCCAACTCTGTAACAGATACTAATTCCAGAACTCAAAGCAAGTGAAAAACCAAGAGGCAATTTGCGTTATTGATCAGTGAGGTGAATATTGTACCTTTGCAGCGTATAACTTGACCAGCAGTGCTCGACATCTCTTCACTTCGCTGAGAACGGAAAAAAACTAACACAAGTCAAATATCAAATTTGCGGCCTTTATAGTACGTCTCCAACTCGAAGGTAAGATTACAATTCTATGAAGTTGTGGGTTTAAGTATGGCCACTTCCCACTGCATTTATACTGTGACAAAGAATAAAGCAAGAATAGAAATGCCACGTAAGATGAAGTGACTTGATAAGAAATGAGAAGAAAATTTAAGAAATGCTGAAATTTTCACGTTTGGGACAAGTTTATTGCTCCCTTTGGACGAAGTGATTTGATAAGCAAATGACAAGAAAATGTAAGAAATGATGAAATTTCATATTTGGATAATTGTAGCCGCAATAATTGAGAAGATTAGCGAGAATTTGGTCAGATTTATCATCTATAATTTTCTTGAAGGCATGGATAATAGCCAAACAGACTTATATGGAAAAGAATGGTTAAAACTCAATTAGTACAGTTATAAAGAAAAATTGAATTGAAATTAACTAATAAAAATCTAAGAGAATTTATACAATTTGTTTCAGAAAATCTTATCTAAATTCTAATAAGAATTCAATTACAAACTGGTTTCTACTAAAACTGTCTACTTTTTGAGATTTGGATATTGCATATCCTTATCCTCGCTCAACTAGACTTTGTTAATTCTCTCCTTAAGAAAGTTGAAATAGTTGAAAGACTTGTTGCCATTTTATTGAAAAGATCTTATTGAGTTTTGAACTTTTAGAAGTATTTTTTTTCCTCCTCTTTCGATAAAAAATAATCTCCCTTTTTTGTAAAAGGGAGTCTTAAAGAATAGAGAACTTTCAAAGGATAAATACCCTTCAAAAGTTAAGGTTACCTTTTCAAGATAATTTTAAAAATTTGAATTATATATTCTAAATAAATTTAAATATAATCTAAAAAATAAACTAAAAATATAATAAAAATAAAATTCCTAATCAAATCTAAATCTTCCAAAAAAATCATCATGATCATAGCTCCCCTTTTTTTACTAGAGCTAACTCCCAATAGTTCTTAACCTGGACCATGGAGAAACAATTTGACTCAAAGCTCGAGAAGAACTATGCCATTTTGTTTGTAAAAAGTTGCACTACCAGATTTAGTTTCTCATCATACGTAGCTAGGATGGATGCTTTGATATCAAAATATAATACATAATTTTTTGAAGGCACAAATAATTGCCAAATAGATCCACACAAACAAAAATAATAATCCAAACTCAACTACAATAATTGTAAGAAAAACTAACTCAAAATTGATTAATAAAAAGTTAAGAGTATTTATACAAGTAGTTTCAAAAAATTCTATTTAAACATTAACAAGAATGCAATTAATAACTTAGTTCTTATTTAGACCGTTTGGCCTTTGAGATTTGAATATTATAAATTCTTAAACTTACTTGGGTAGACTTTGTCAATTCTCTTCTTAGTGCGGTTAGAATGGTTGAAGAGCTTGTTAACTTCTTGTCAGAAAACTCCAATTGAGTGTTAAACTTTTTGAAAGTATTTTTTTCGTTTCCTTTTAATGAAAAAGTTCCTCTTTGTTATATAAGAAGTCCCGAATAACAAAGGACTTCAAAGGATAAATACTTTTCAAAAGATAAAATTGCCCTCCGAAAGTAATTTTAAAAAATTTAGATTTTATACTCTAAAAAATTTTAAACTTAATTTAAAAAAAAAAAAATAAATATAATATAAATAAAATTTTTAATCAAATCCAAATTTTCATAAACATCCTTTTGGATCAATTTATCTCGATGGGAGCAAGAGTAACAATACTATTTATAAGGCTAAAGCAATGGGTATAGTAAGCAAAATTATACGAAAAGAGGAGGGATATGTAATAACCAGAACAAGGAAAATCCATCAAATTTGATCAGCCATCAGGGAATAATCCTAATGTGAGTTGGATATGGTTGGGGAGTTGCAGCAATAGTAAACAGAATGTTCTAAGAATGTCATTTCACTGTTAACTAATAAAAAAAATGATGAGTTAAGATCAATTATTAGTTGATATTATTATTAGAAATAAGACTAAGATAAGGATGTTCAAATATTATTCTTAAAAAGGATAAGACTTAAATATACTTATCTCAATCTTATTTCTAAAAACACTTGTGGGAACTTATCACATTTTATTCTTTAATACTCACCAAAATTATGTGATTGGATGAGAAAGGAACTAGCCCTTTAATAGCTTGTTTGTCCTATCAAGATTACCCTCATAGATGAAAGAATTAAAACAAAATTACAATAGGATGATCAATTAATAAAAAAAACTCTAATCCATCACACTTTCTCACATTGATATTTAAACAAGACAGTAAGAAAACAAAATAAAAAATATTTTATGTAAGTTTACTTCAATAAAAAATATTTTATTTGCATTAACTAAGCATGAAAAAGACTGATGTAGGGCTTATTTGCCAGATTTATTGTTTTTACAAAAGTAATAAATTTTAAAAATTGTTAAAAAATATTAAAAGTATAGAAGTTAAGAATACTTATAAATTTTGTTAAAAGTAAAAAAAATTGATAAGTAAATGTTTGGTAAAATAATTATAATAATTATTTATTATGTTAAAATATTTAAAATTATCCATTCATTTATAGATAATGGTAAATTAGATAATAGTGAGGATAAATTGGGATATTAATGGAAATATTGAAATATATTTGTTTAACAAAAATTCAAATTAATTAAAGTCATGCAATTAGTTGCAAAAAGTAGGTGTTTGAGTGTTTTTACTTCTGATTATTTTTGCGTAAAATTTTAAAAAATAATCCAACAAAATTATTTTTTAAACTAAAAAATAATTAAAAATCAACGCTCATGATTGGACAGACAAAACTAGGAAAATTATATTAATAATAATAATTTTTTTACCAAAACACTTAATTTTTTTAGATATCAACACCTGATTTCTGAGAAAAATTTGTCATAACTTGGATCTTCTCTTGCTCCAGAGCTTCATCCAATAAGAAATTTGTGTAAAACTCCAAAGCTCTGCTCGACGGGAGCTCTGCGTAGAGCTCCACCATGCAAAGCTTTGTCCGATGAAAGCTCTTGTCCAACAAAGCTCTAACTCCATCTAATGATGAAGCTCTGTGGATGGAGCCCTACGAACAAAGCTCCGTGAGACAACAGAGCTTTGCACAAAGCTCTTGTCAGATGGAGCATTGTGAACAAAGCTCCACCTAACAATGGAGGTTTGCATAGTGCTCCCGTCGAAATAGAGCTTTGTGAACAAAGCTCCCATCATCAAACGGCGGATCTCCGTTGCAGAGAAAAGATCTAAGTTGTGCAGAATTTTCTCAGAAATCGGATTCATTTCTAAAATAATGACAGCACTATTTTACTTATTTTGATAAATAACTTTTTAAAAATATGTTTTACAAAAAAAAAAAGTATTAATATTAAATTATTTTTTTAATAAAAATAAAAATTATTGAAAAATCTATCTGACACATGCACATGCACTATTGTAGAGTTGCAGAAAGCCGGAAAGCTGGCAAGCTACACCCATATCGAAGTTGGCTTGTCCAATCCTGTCTCGTCTCGTCTCGTAAAAGTAACTCAAAAATAAGAAATTTAAACAAACAAAATTATTTTTGTAACTAAAAAATCAACTCACATATGGACCAGTACAATTATAATGGTGGGGAAAAGCCAAAAAGATGCGGCAGGCAGGTACATTCATACAGGACCAAGTTAGCTTGTCCAGTCTTTTTCTTTCTTTTTCTTTTTTTTTTTTTTCCTTCTTGTCCACTTGGACTTTGTCTGGTTTTAACACTCCATGATTGTAACAGCCCAAGTGCACCCCATATGCAGCGAAGGCCCATTCGATTTGGGATCTGATATGAACAGATAAAGTAGTATGCTCTCGTCTCTATCCAATTTCATAATAGTTTTTTTTTTTTTTTTATGACAGGGAATAAAATAAAATTAGATATGAATTTAAGGCTTATAAAAGTATATAATCTTTATAAAATTTATTTAAAACTTCTGAATTTAACTTTTGACCTTTTTTCTTCTCCTAATTTTAAACTTAAATCTCTGCTATGATCAAAATAATAATAATAATAATAAAATTGGGATATGCCCAAATATTAAATATTCCTAAATATTGAGTACTTAGTATCAAATTATTTAGCATTAATAGGTATACTTTTGAAACCTTTCTTTACTTTCTATCTTTCTCAGTTGCACTATGAAATAATACAAATTAATGTTTAGCAAAATGAAGCTAGTTATGGACTCGACTCTTGTCCCTCCTCTCTTCTTAACCTAAACTTAAGCCTCCTCCAATATGACCAAGAAAAATAATAATAATATGGGAATATTCTCAAACATTAGATATTCCTAAACATTAGGTACTTAGTATTAAATTATTTAGCATACATAGACATGCTTTTGAAACCTTTTTTTACTTTCTATTTTGCGGACTTGAACTCCAAAATAATATAAATTAATATTTAACAACACGAAGCTAGTAATGGGTTTAGACCCTGACTCTCCTCTCTCCGTCTAAACTTAAATTTAATCCTTCAACATGATCAAGAGAATAATAATAAAATTCTCCAATATTAGATATTCCTAAGTATTGGGTACTTGGTATTAAATTATTTAGCATATGTTGACTTTGTGGCTTGAATTTATTGGAGCCGAATTTGCAAACTTGCCCCAAAAGATTTTGTAAGTGCGACCTGAATTGGAAAAAAGCTAAAAATCTGTGTTGGAAGCGAAGGGTTTAGGCCGATAGGCTCGAGTTAAGACCATTTCGTTTTATGACCCAATAGGGTTCATGAACACTTTTATGTTTTTTAAGGTTTGGAATTGTACAGTGGACTGGCTTAGCTACTTGTATTCGTATTCTCTTTATAGTAAAATTTTCTCACTTTACTCTTACTCGAAAACATATGTTATTTTAACCAAATATCATTAAATTTTTATATTATTTTTTTTATTCCCGTTGTTTTGATTGTATGGCAATAGCATACATAGGCATGCTTTTAAAACCTTTCTTTACTTTCTGTTTTTGGGACTTGAACCCCAAAATAATGCAAATTAGGCATGCTTTTAAAACCTTTCTTTACTTTCTGTTTTTGGGACTTGAACCCCAAAATAAAGCAAATTGACATTTGGGGAACCAAGCTAGCTTAATCGTCTTAAGCCAGCAAATTAAGATTTTTCAGTTGTCTTAATCGTCTCATTTTCCTCCACAATCTCAAGTGATAACTAGAAAACAGAAATCATAATTCAAAATCTAATTAACTGCCATGATTATTCGGCCTTCAATTTTCCATCCTTACATCAAGTCACAAGCTCCACATCGCAGCTACTTCTCAATGCTTATCAACTTAGTATTGGGGCAGTCAATTCCGTCACAAATCCGCTGCAATTTGGGCCTTGAAAGAAGCCCTTGCATGTAAAAGTGGCTTTCTTTCGTAATCCTCTATTCGCCCCCACTTTGACAGATGGTACTCAGTCACGCGAGTGCTCCACCGTTGATGGCAACAAGACGTGTAAAGGACGAGAAAATACACCTAAACCAAGACTTTGCCCATGTGCAATTTGATATTTGTTTGCTCAAATTGGAGCCATTCCAGCTAGACTAGGCCTATAGGTGCTTGTGGCGCAGTTGGTTTTGATTTGAGCCTCTCGTACAAATTAAATTATAATTTTAAATTTTAAATTTTTAAAAATTAAATTAAATTATAGTTCATAATTTGATTTTATTTCAAATCACAATTTATGATTTATGATATTAGAAAGAATTAAATTTACTATTTTTGCCAAAATTTTAATAGAATTCTTCTCAAAAATAGACTTTTAAAATTTTTTTTTAACTTATTTAATTTAAGAAATATCAATTAATCATAGCAGTTGCATATTATGTAGTAAATATATTTACATTGTAAAACTTGAATTTGAATTAATAATAAATATTTTTAGAAAAGAAAAAAAATTAATTATCAAAATTAAACATAAAAAAGAATAAAAATTATATGTAATTAAATAATAAAAATAAATTATATAAATAAAACTAATATTTCTAATTCTATTTATAGATTATAAGATTAGATTTAATTCATACAACTTATAAACTAAAGCACACGAGTAAAAAAAAGACCTTAGCCAAGACTTGACCTGTAATATAATTGTTATTATTTATTTATTTATTTATTGTTTGGGCTCAAAGCGGGGTTATTACAAGCTAGACGATGACGTTTGGAAATGGTCAAATTGCGGTAAAAAATGCGGATTTTTGTTTTTTTTTTTAATTTACTCACAAAAGTCTAAGCACGTGCTCTGATGGCAGGGAAGTCAGGATGGCGTATGCAAAGAAAAATATTACCTCTAGGAAGGAGAAGCAAGCAGTTAAATAATTGAAAGTTCGCAATATCCTTTTCCAACTATTAATGATTTAGTACTGCACGTTGTCGGACCTTACAGCACATTTTTGGTTTCTAGGAATCAGCTCCTAACGTAATTAATTAATAAAGAACATGATTTAGAGTGTTAATATTGCAATAACGTTGTCGTGTCTCATTTTATTTTGCACTATACGTGACAGATTATAATACATTTAAAACAATTTAAATTACTATTAAATATTTTAAATTTCAACATTTTAGCAGTGATTTTGTCACACCCCAACCACTTACAAACTCAAGGGGCATGACAGCCGGGCAATAACTAACACACCGCCGGGTAAAATCCAACAGCATGTCGCTACTGTAACCCTTTTTAGTTGGCCTCAAGGGCCCTATGTCTTAGTACCTGCTTAAAACAATAACAATTTCATAATACTAACATGGTTTGTAAAACTCATCAAATACATAACTTAAGCATAAATCATTCTGTAATACATTTCTATTAATCATCTAACATCATGCTATGCTCAAAAATAATCACATATGCTTAATCAATATTAATTCATTCATAAGACCTCAACATCACATATTACTTAAAAATTCTCTAAAAAAAATAAAACAACCTCCCAATATATATGACTCATCCCAATCTATATAAACATAATCAAAAAGATCCTCGCAGCCTGGCCCACCTAGTGCTAGTACGTGAGCAAAACACAACATAAGCAAAACGAATACCGAGGTTCTAACTTAATGTCTCAGCATCTGCAGGGGGGAAAAAATGAGTGGGTGAGACCAACGTCCCAGTGAATGGTAATCCAACTAATCCCAGTGGAAACAGTCAGTTT